ATGGCTAGTGAAGATCTTCTCCCAATCTGTGGGCTTTCTGTTAATCTTGCTAGCTATGTCCTTTGCCATGCAGAAGCTCTGCAATTTCATGCAATCCTATTTGTCCAACCTTTCTTTGATTTGTTGTGTTTCTGGGTCTCTGTTAAGAAAATTTCAGCCTGTGCCGAGGAGACCTAGTGTTTCTCCTATTCCATCCTGTAATGTTTTCAGAGTGTCTACTTTGACTCCGAGGTCTTTGATCCATTTGGAGTTGATTCTTGTGCAGGGTGATATATAAGGATCTAGCTTTAGTTTTCTACAAGTAGTTCTAAGATACTATCGTAAGTCCTTGGGGAAAAGTACATTAGAGATATGGTGAATGTCTAGGGAAGAAGACCCTACCTGATTAGATTTCCCAGCAGTCTTCATCATGAAAGGAAGAAGTCTATCCTCACTATTGAGTTTCTGATGAATAATTTTTTTGGCTTCAACTATCATGCAAGGTCCCAAGGTTTACTCTGGAGGAATCTGATGAAGTTTTGCCTCTTCTCCCTTCCCAAATGGCTAACTCCACTCGCAGCATTTATTTAAAGAAAACCATGTTCACTATGCTTTGATATCTGTAGAATAAAGCATTTATGAATATTGTAATTACAGGGGCTCCCTTAGATAACTCTTCAGTGGTATAAGCAGGAAGTGCATGGGGAAGGCAGGTTTTCATGTATTCCATCTATTGGTTTCTTTATGTGCATCATTGTAAAAAGATTTTTCCTGGGTTTCTTGCCTTTGCAACAACTCTGAGTTTATCGTTTCATGAGCATGTTTTCGTTTTCCTCGTGTTGAAGAAGAGCATACAGCTAAACGCACTTATTTTCTTCCAGATGGCAATGGAAGTAATGCAGTTCAGCAAAGAGGAAGTTCAGGAAGTTCTGAGGTTGCTTGCTGGAATTCTACATCTGGGCAACATAGAGTTCATCACTGCTGGTGGGGCGCAGGTTTCTTTCAAAACAGGTAAAGTGATGCCTGCCTGCCTCCAGCCGTCTAAGCTGCAAGGAATTAAACTTAAAAAATTGGCGAGTCTTACAGAAAAAATTTTCGAACTTCTGGAAAAGAGAACTATACAATTATTGCAATTATTTATTGTCATTATTATTTTGGTGCTGGAGATTAAATACTGGGTCTCACACACACCAGGTATACATTATCACTGAGCTAAACCCTCCTCCCCCAGCTCAAGAGATAATGGGATTTTAACTGTATCTGACATGAAGTGTCAGTCAGAAGAGGACCAACACCAAGGAAAAGTTGTTGAACTGGGGTAGCTGTGTTCTTGTTCTTACTAAAAAAGATTAAAAATGGGCCAAATAAGTACACATCTGAACAATGGGGACCTGAAGGAGAAGATTATTGAGGAGGGTAACATGCCTGATTGATCCTGTAGTTACAGAGTGGTAGGAAGTTAAACAGTTAAGCTGATGGCTAGGTGCAGGTGGCTCATGCCTGTAATCCTAGCTACTCAGCAAGTTGAGATGTAGATGATCATGGTTCGAAGTCAGTCTGGGCAGAACTGTCTGTGAGACTGTTATCCCCATTTAGCCAGCAAAATGTCAGACTGGTAGTATAGCTCAAATGGTAGAGCCTTAGCTATGAGCAAGAAAGCCAAGCTAACGCATGAGGCCCGGAATTCATACCACAGAGGGGTATGAATACAGAGTGGGGGAAAACTTACTAGTTTTTAAGTGGGACACCAGTGGTTCATGCCTGTAATCCTGGCTACTCAGGAGGCTGAGATCTGAGGATCACAGTTCAAAGCTAGCACAGAAAGAAAGTCTGTGACTCTTACCTCCAATAAACTACTCAGAAAAAAAGCCCGGAGTGACACTGTGGCTCAAGTGGTAGAGTGCTCGCTTTGAGCACAAGAGACTCAGGAACAGTGCCTAGGCCCTGAGTTCAAGCCCCAGAACCGCCAAATATATGTATTAGTTCTCCATGGCAGAGGTACAGCTGAGTGGTATAGCATTTGCCTAGGCTGTGCAAGACCTTGGGTTTGATCTGCAACAGTGGGGGGAAGTAAAAGACTATTAATTTTCACGCATAAGCCAAGCATCAGTGGCTAATACCTGTAATCCAAGGTACTCAGAAGGCTGAGGATTATGGTTTGAAGCCAGCCCAATCAAGAAAGCCCAGGAGACTCTAATCTCCAATTTAACTACCAAAAAAAAAAAAAAAGCCAAAAATGGAATTGTGACTCAAGTGGAAGAATGCTAGCCTTGAGCAAAAAAGCTCAGGGACAGCACCTGGGCAAAGTGTAAGCCCCAGGACACACACACACACACACACACACACTTGCCAGAATATTGGGTTCATAACCCTGCTCTGCCTCAAGTTGTTTTCTGTTTCCCGTGTGATCTTTCCTCAGCACCACTGACGTATCTGTGGTTGCTGTAGAAATTGATTGTCAAGAGAAAATGAACTCACAAATACAGTTAGGTCAGTGGTCCTCTTGCTGGAGTGACTTACCCATTTCCAAAACTTCCCAGGTAGAGACAATAGATGTGGTCACAGAGGCTCAAAGCTGGATGCACGTAGGGACAAATTGGCCTTAGGGGGAGGTTGGTCTGTAGGTCAGTAGTTCTGTAATGGTGGATTTTACCCAGCTCTTCTCAAAAATCATAAAACCTAAAAGAGTTTTTATTTATGTGGGTTATATATAGACATGTTTCTGAATCAAAAATTAAAACAGAGCTGGTCATTCGTGGCTCATGCCTGTAATCTTATTTACTCAAGAGGCTGAGATCTGAGGATCATGGTTCAAAGCCAGCCTGGGCAGAAAAGTCCATGAGATTTATCTCCAAATAACCATCAGAAAAAAAAGAACAACAACAACTGAAAGTGGCACTGTGTTTCAAAGTGGTAGAGCCTTGAACAAAAAGAGCTTAGGGACAGTGTCCAGGACCCAAGAGCAACAAAAGAAAAGAAATTCAATAAAACTGAGGAATTTGAAATATTTGTTAATTTGCTTAACAATAAGCCAGTTGCCAGTGGTTCCTACCTATATTCCAGCTACTCAGAAGATTGAGAACCCAAGGATTGAGATTCTGTAAGCCTGTCAGAAAAGTCTGTGAGACTCAGTCTCCAAAATAACCAGCTAAAAGCTAAGCTGGAGGCATAGCTCAAATGGTAAAGTATTAGCCAAGCCACGCAAACATGAGGCCTGAGTTGAAACCCCAGTAAAATAAAACCTTGACATATTAAAATCAGTGTATTGTTACCTAAGCAACTTTTCCCAGCCAGGAAAGAAGCCAGTAAGAATAGTTTCTTTCTCAATACCTTTTTTGCAAATTTTTTGAATGTTCAAAAACATTAAAGGACAGCTTGGGATGTCATAGCTGTGACTGTACTCACATTGTTGAGATGGCTCATGGCCTGTGACCTTCCTTTTCTCTACACTAATGAGAGAATTCGAATGGAAAATCAAGAAAAGCAAAAAACACCTATGGTGCTTTGAATGAAAATGCTCACCAAGCTCTTTCCAGGGTTTGGCAATGGCCAGCCAACATTTTTTGTCTAAATACAAGGTTCTCCCATGCTCCTAGACTCGAATCTATGAAGGGAGTAGATATCTTGACAATACACTATGTGTTCTTTGAGTTCTGCCTGCGGGATTCGGGGATGTTCTCTGCTCTATGCTATTGCTGTGTAAGTTAGATTGAAGCCATTTGAGGTCTAGTGGCTAGTTCTGGGGAAGTCTGAGTTCACCTGTGACTTTTTCTTGGTTTTCAGCTTTGGGCAGGTCTGCAGAGTTACTTGGGCTGGACCCAATACAGCTCACGGATGCTCTGACCCAGAGATCGATGTTCCTCAGGGGAGAAGAGATCCTCACACCTCTCAATGTCCAGCAGGTACTCACGTGTTGCCATAACACTGTCTTACACGATACTCCTGGGATTTCAGGTCCTTGACTTTGATTTGCAATCGTGACTACAGTATGAACTGCTGAAATGACTTTGACTCAAAATGCAGAAGATACTGCCTGAGTCTGGGGAATTGACAAAAGTTATAGAAGTATTTCCTAAGAAACAAAGTGCACCATGTACTTTGAGCATGTTGTGTCTAAGGCAGAATTCCTGAGTTTGAATCTTGATCCTTCTCTACTTACTACTTTCTGTCTGTACTTGAGTTTCCTCTTTAAGTCAGATAGTTATCATACCTAACTCATAAGATTCCTGTGAAGGTAAAAAAATAACCAATCTATGCCAAGTATTTAATGTCTGTTACAGAGTAAGTCTTAATAAACATTAGCCCTATCAATGTGTTGTTACTCTTGCTATTATTATTATTATTAAAGATAATACAAATATCTGTTATTTTTTTCCTCTTCCATTGCAGGGGCAATTTGTGTTTTAGGGGTAGCTTTCCTAGTAGGCTTGGGTTGTTGTTTTTTTTCTTTTTGTGCCAGTCCTTGGGCTTGAACTCAGGGTCAGGGCACTGTCCCTGAAATCTTTTAGCTCAAGGCTAGTACGCTACCATTTGAGCCATCACTCCACTTCCAGCTTTTTTTCAGTAAGAATCTCATAGACTTTTCTACCCCAGTAGCTTTGAACCCCAATCCTCAGATCTCAGCCTCCTAAGTAGCTAGAATTTTAAATGTGAGCTACTAGCACCCAGTTTCTATCTTTTTTAATTGAATAAATAAAAATATTAATCATATCATGAAGAAAACCTGCATATGTTCAAAGTAAAAAAAATTGAGATCATTATTTAAACTAATATTGTAATATTTTAGACCTGGTCAAATCTGTGCCTGACTAAAGAGACTCAGATTTTCTTACTAGGACTGAGCAGGTAAAGTTGAGTTTACAAACCTGATAGTGACAGGAATTGTTGATGTTGATTTTATTTCACAGTGAGGGCTCAGATCCTTCCCCATTGTTTGTCTCTCTGTCTGTCTGTCTGTCTTATCTGTCCTATCTGTCAGGTCAGAGCTTGCCTGCCAGTGTTGCCCATGGTTTCCTCCTACAGGCAGTAGACAGTCGAGACTCATTGGCCATGGCACTTTATTCACGCTGCTTTGAGTGGCTGATCAAGAAGATTAACAGTAGGATCAAGGGCAATGATGACTTCAAATCTATTGGCATCCTTGACATCTTCGGATTTGAAAATTTCGAGGTAGGCTCCCAAAGAGTGGGCTAAGTGGATTTTTTTAGTGTGGACAGAAATTTCTGGAAACAGGCACGGATACTGTTCTGTGGAGACATATTTTTGCTTTTGCCCCTTCTATATATATTAGGACAGGCATTGAAGATCATTACGTGTCCCACCCTTTTAGGTGAACCACTTTGAGCAGTTCAATATCAACTATGCAAATGAGAAACTTCAGGAATACTTCAACAAGCACATTTTTTCTTTAGAACAACTCGAATATAGCAGGTAAGCATTGAGCTTGGCCTTTCAAGTGTGCCTATATACAAATCAGTTAAAAATTGTTTTGATTTCACTTGGCCTTTTCTGATCTTCCCTTAGAGAAGGACTGGTGTGGGAAGACATTGACTGGCTGGACAATGGAGAATGCCTTGACTTGATCGAGAAGGTACTGGGTTCTTGAAGAATACATAGCTAGTATCCCAAGGGTGTCCAGCTGGGCTGATTCATATTTATGGGAACAAAATAACTTGTGCAAACACGCACATCAAAGATGTGAATGTTTAGAACACAATGGACCATTTGGAAACATAAATGTAAATGTGCAGGGTTGAATTTAAATACTTGGCTGCCTCAAACCTATTGTCTCATTGAATTCACTACAGGAGAAACACATTGTGGGAATTGGCTTCATTTAGATTTTAAGTCTACCTCAGGCCGGCCAATTGAAGAATTATAAGTTTAAAATAATAATTTTTTTACAATTTAATTTTACAACTTAATTTTTATATGCAGTTTAAATTAATTGATTTTCTTTATGCTGTACCATTCTGACTTTTTCCATCCACAAAGTTACCATGGCTGGCTTTCTTTTAACCACTGACAGGATAAACAATGAATGAAGAGAAATTCATTCAACCGTAATTCATTTCATTCCTTGCTTAATTCATTCCACTTTTCTCTCCATCCTTGTAGAAGCTTGGCCTTCTCGCCCTTATCAATGAAGAAAGCCACTTTCCTCAAGCCACGGACAGCACCTTATTGGAGAAGTTACACAATCAGCATGCGGTATGTCAAAACCTGCCTGAACAGATCTGAGCGTTAATACTGTGTACTAGAAGTTCACTGCTGTAGGCCCAGCGGTTGTTCCCATGTGAATGTGTTTTCCTCAGGCCTGTCTTCCCTTACAAGACCTAAAATGAATAAGATTTGATTTGAAGTGACTGGCCAGAACAGGCCCATTTATATCACGAATGGAAAACTAAAAAGTTTGAGTCTACTGAGATGACATGTGGAGTTGGAGCATTTTGAGTATGTGTTCTAAAGCACAGCAGGGGTTGCTGTTGTATTTACCATCTGCTGGTATGATTTTCTCTAAAAATCAGTCAGTGAAATTTGTAATCCTTTTTTTTTCTTTTTTAAATAAATTAGAATAACCACTTCTATGTGAAGCCCAGGGTTGCAGTGACCAACTTCGGAGTGAAGCACTACGCTGGAGAGGTGATTTCTTCTTAAGAACTTTACTAATACTTTGCCTAGTTGGTATGCAAACAAAATAGTAGGTGATTTGATTTTATTTTATTGTAAAGATACTGTACAAAGGGGTTACAGTTACAGTAGTAGGCTCTGAAACAGGTCATAAATTTATTAAAATGGTTCCTTTTTTTTTAATGACTAGTTTGAAAGTGGTTGCTTTATGACCAGAAACTATTCTGTGTGCCACTTTGCCCCTCTTTTTATTTTGTAAAACTAGGTGCAGTACGATGTCCGAGGCATTCTGGAAAAGAACAGAGACACCTTCAGGGATGACCTTCTCAACCTGCTAAGAGAAAGCCGGTATGGTGCACTCCATGAGGCCATTAGCAAGTGAATGGAAATTTGGGCAAATGCACTTGATTCATGGATGTAGAGCAAATTACCACTATGGAAGTACTTGATTGAATATTTTCTTCTCCAGACAACATCTCATCAATTTCTCAAGAGATACAATAGTGGCTTCCATGGAGGAGCTGAGTTCAGTAGTCTCATTAATCTTATTTTGCCGATGAGGAAACTGAGGCTTAGAATGGGTAAAAGTCTCACCAGGAAACTGAAGCATTATAGCTTAGTCAGTACTGCTGGGTCAAGAATCTAAGATCTGATTACATGAACTAATAAAGTATTCTCTAAATAATGTGCGGGGGAAGAACCTAAGACCTTTAGCAGCCTGACCAGCTCTCCTCACTCTGTGTGTCAATTTCAGCCTTAGTTTCATGGGCTTTTCTTATTAGAATAAGGGATGTGGGCATTGGTAAGCATAGCTACTTAGCAAGCTGAGATCTGAGGATTTTAGTTCAAAGTCAGCCGGGCAAGAAAGTACTTGAGACTCTATCTCAGATTAAGCACCAAAAGCTGTGGTTCAAGTGGTAGAGATCTAATCTTAAGGAGTGCAAGACTGAGTTCAAGTCCCAGTACCAGAATAACAACAACAACAAAAAAAACCTACAGCTGATTACCAGTAGCTTATACCTATAATCATAGCTACTTGGAGGTATGAGATCTGAAGATTACTGTTCAAAGCCAGTGTGGAAAGTCTCTAAGACTCTTACCTCAAATTAAGCACCCAAAAAAAGCTGGAAGTGGAGCTGTGGCTCATATAGTAGAATTTAGCCTGAGGGACAGCTCCCAAGCCCTGAGTTCAAGCCCCAAGTCTGGCACAAACAAATAAATATCAAATAAATAGAAATAGAAAAAAATTAAGCAGATATTAATTGAGCCAAAATTTAAAAGTTATAAGTTCTTGGATTCATTCACGAATTGTAAATTCACACCTAAATGTTGAATGATTAGAAACCAGGAAGCTTCCCATTGTTTGGCGACTCTGTGTGTAAGAGGGAGAAAGAAAGGGAAGAGTCAGAAAATGTTTTTTCCCAAAGGCTTTTCATGTGCTGTAGGAATCCAGTGTGAATCTACACAGAAATAAACTTTCCATCCCTGAGGAAGTAGCCCAGTTGTGACAGCATTGTGAAATGTAAACACCAGGTGGCTGTCCTGTCCCTCAGACCGCGATGAACAACAGCAGGCAGGGAGCAGGGAGCGGGGCCAGGGAGTTAGATGTGTTAGTGCCAGCAAGTTAGATGATGTGTTAGCAGAGGTGCTCAGTGTTGAAAACCTTGTTTTCACTTTGCTATGTGAGGACTCACGGTTTATGCCATTATCGGCATTTTCATTGCTAGTTGAGTTTTCAGACCTATACAAAAGAAAGGATTGCTTTAAAATGACGGTAACCTGTCTATCAGAGGAGTTTTAGGTTGTTAGATTGAAAGTGATACCTTTAGGTGAAAGCCATGTATTAAGTGCTCAGAAGCTGTGTGTGGCTGTAGAAAAAGCACCCGCTTGGTTGCCAGCAGGACTGGGGTCCTGGGGTGCTTCAGAAACAGTCTGCTGTTTCAGCCCCAGGTGTCCCTTTGCTTTGAGGTCTCTGACCTTTGATATTTTTGACCTTCGACATCTTTGACCTTTGACTAGAACCCAAGCTTCTCATCAAGAGGTCAAAGCACAGTTAGAGAACTTAAGGGAAAGAGCATTAGAGAACAAAATAGGAACACACTGTCCAGAAAAAATGCTAGCACTGCCATCTTGGGGGAGAATGTGGAGGCCTGGACTTTCTCCCCGATTCTTTGGTAATAGTGCCACCCCTAACCCCACAGCCCATCATGCCTTTGGTGCCAAGGAGATCAAAGGTTACTGGGATATCTTTTGCCTCATTAAGAGTGACGTGAGTTTCATAGAACTTCTGAGAAGTAGCAGCAGTGGCAGCTCACAGCAGTGCTTTCTGTGCCAGGCCTCATGACCTGAGGTGTTTACATGTTTTCTAGTATCACTCTTGCCACACCCTTAGGGGACAAATTCTGAAATTAACCCGTTTTTACAGATGACAAACAAAAACCTCAGGCTTTTGGGCTTGTTGGTCTATGTCTGTAATCCCAGTTTCTTGGGAGGTAGAGAAAGGAGGATTGCAGTTCAAGGGCCAACCTACACAAACTTTAGTGAGACTCTATTTCAAAAACAAGCTGTGGTGGTGGTACATGCCTGTAACTCCAGCTGCTCCGGAGGTAGAAGTTAGGAGGAGCTCAGTCAGAGATCACCCAGGATAAAAATCACAAGACCTTGTCTGGAAAATAAACTAAAAGCAAAAGGGCAGGGCATGTGACTCAAGTGGTAGAGTGTTTGTCCAGAAAGTATAAGGCTCTGAGTTCAATCCTCAGTACCACCAGAAAAAATTTAAAAAATGGAGGCCACTAAACACGAAGCCTCTTGCCCATGAGGTCTATCTGGGAAGTGGTGATGGAAGCAGAATTTGAAGCCTAGTCTGCCTCCCTACAGATTTCAGCGTTCCTCGCTGGCCCTATCATTCACTGGTCACATCTTCACAACCCTGAGGTGGGCAAAGCGAAATTCATATCTGTGGCTTCAGCACCCATATTCAATCATCCTCAGATTGAAAATGTGGGGAGAAAATACACACTTTTTTCCTTGTTTTTTTTTTCACTAAAGAATATGTTATAGCAGCTATTTGCATAGCATTGTATTGGACCACTGAGATGATTTTAGGCGTATGGGAGAACGTGCAGGCTCTGAACAGGCACAACCCCATTCCATAGAGGGGACTTGAGCACCTTGGGCTTTAGGACCATACATCCTGGAGCCAGTCCCCGCCAATCCAGAGGAATCCAGTGCTGCAAATAGCACAGCCTTCCTCAGTGGCTGCCACCTGGGGTCACTGTCTTTCCAGGCCACTTGTCTGTGGTTCCACCCCTTTCTGGCACTCAGAAGGCTGGCATGGATTTCTCAAGGCCTAAAGCTCTCTGGCAGTGGTTAGTTTGATATCTCTGGAAGCTGTCTTAGCCATTTCAGGCGTCCGGGGATGACTTTCCATTATCAGTGGGGAAAGGCACTGTAATTCTAGTAACCTGGATGTGATCATCCACTGTGTGAGTCTGCCTCACCATCCTGCCCCGCCTTCCCGCAGGTTCGACTTTATCTATGACCTCTTCGAGCACGTCTCAAGCCGCAACAACCAGGATACCTTGAAATGTGGAAGCAAACACCGACGGCCTACCGTCAGCTCGCAGTTCAAGGTTGGTCTCCACTGCCAGCTTGCTTTCATCCAGAGAACAGAAAATAGGAATCGGGTATACATAAGGTTTAGGAGAATTTTTTTATATGTATATCATGTTCTTAAAACAGGCAGTGCTGGGGCTGGGAAGGTGGCTCAATGGTAGAGTGTTTACCTTGCACGTATGAGGCCCTGGGTTTGATTCCTCAGCACCACATAAGCAGAGAAAGCTGGAAGTGGTGCTGTGGCTCAAGTAATAAAGTGCTAGTTTGAGCTGAAAAGCTGAGGGACAGTGCCCAAGCCCAGAGTTCAAGCCCCACGACCGACAAAAAACAACAACAACAAATAGTCTGCTTTAAAAAGAATACGTTTTTGATGTTAGGTGATATGACAAAATTAACAGGACTTAAGAAACAAAGAACTTCCACTCATCTTGTCGAGCCACTACTAAATATCCCCATGCTGCTGATCACATGTATAGTGTATATGTGTACACCGTTATATGTTATAGACCATGATAGACAATTTGCTCCAGGAAAGTTAGAATGAACTTGTGACTTTAAATGAGCATCATTATTCCACAATACTGTGAAATTTGGGAAATTATGTACTCATTACCTTGCTCATGTAACTGTAACCCTCTGTATAGTATCTTTACAATAAAAAATTAAAAAAAAAAAAGAATACGTTTTTGGAGTTATGGGAATAGCTCAGTGGTAGAATATATGCTTAGCTTATGCAAGGTCCTAGGCTCAGTCCTCTCAACCAAAAAAACTGTGTATGTCTAGTTGTGAAAATATGGTATATTTCTTCCTAGATCTGGATGTTTGTACTTTTCCTAGATACACTTACTCTATTGTAACTAGGAGTGATTGCCAAGTTCTTTTTGTTATTATTGTGAAAATACCGTACAGAGGGGTTACAATTAATGGGCAAGATAATGAAGTACATTTCTTATCAAGCATTGTTGTCTCCTCCTTTGTTTCCTCTTCCCATACCTTCCCATCTCTCTTCCCCCTCCCACTCCCCCCCCCAAAGTTGGAAAGTTCGTTTTTTTCGACATAACAATTTGTCCATCTCATTGTTGCAATGGGTCCACCTGTATCCCTATTTAAACTATTTGTTTTTTGCCTTCCCCTCCACAAATTATACCAACATCAAATGCAGTGAAAGCAGGGGTTATACCGTGGAGGAGCCAAGTTCTTATATAAATTAAACTGACATCACTACTTTGCTCACGTGTCCACAACTCAAGGAAAATTGATATTTGCATTTTTGATACAGAAGCATTTTATATCATTTTGAGAAATGGGGAACATTTCATCCAAAGGCCACACAGTTCCTTGAAATATTTTGGTCCACAATGGGACAGCCATGTACATTTCTCATATGTGTCTCGTTAGCTGTTCTCAGCTGTCTGCCTCTATTGATAATTTGATATGACTTTTGAATGATGTTAAAAATATCCAAATGTCTAGGTGCTAATGACTCACACCTGTAACCCTAGCTACTTAGAAAGCTGAGATCTGAAGTTCATAGTTCAAAGATAGGCAGGAAAAAAAAGTATGTGAGACTCTTATCTCCAAGTAACCACCAAAGAGCCAGAAGTGGAGCTTTTGCTCCAGTGCTAGAGCACCAGCCTTGAGAGAAAAAGCCAAGCAAGAGCAAAAGACAGGGCAAAAATAAATAAAGATCCTCTTTCAAAGGAAGTAATAAGTGTGTTTTGTATATTAAGATATAAATTTGATTACACTGAACTGCGATAGCTTCTGTCTTATTTTATGTTGGAATGACATACTTAGAAAATGACAAACTGTTATTTCTATGATTTACATTGTTTGATTGTTTCTGGCAAGTATGTAGGACCCTGAGAATCAAAATAATGATGTAATAAGAGACTAAGTCAACTTCTTTCTCCTTTCTGTAGGACTCCCTGCATTCCTTAATGGCAACCCTAAGCGCCTCTAATCCTTTCTTTGTTCGCTGTATCAAGCCCAACACACAGAAGGTAAGATTTATGATGGGGGCCAGAGGGAAATCACCCCTTGAAAGGAGAGCCTCCTGGGCTGGCTACTCGTGGATTGCTTTCTCGAAAGTCCTTTCATTATGGATGGTTGGAAATGGATATGACATTATTGTAACCTGACATTAGATGAAATGTGCCCCTTTGTCGTCTGAGGCTGGTAGTCTGCTTTTGAATGATGCCATTAGGCTTTAGGGGGAATCTGTTTTAAAAGGAAACGGTTTGAAGCCTTCCCATTTAGCATTTGGTTTGAAATGTTTGGTACTGGCTTCCAAATGGGGTATGCCTGTTTAGGCAGAAAAGAGTATGGTTTGGGTGGTGATTTTTTTTGTTTGCTTCTTTTGCTTTATTGGTAGTTATGACATATAGGTTGTAATCTAAGAATTAGGACTGAATTTTAAGTACTTTAATGAGTTGGTTATTAATTACAAGAAAACTTAAAAGTTGTCATAAGTTTAAATGTCTAGGACCTACGATCTTAAGTTTAAAAATGAGTAACTACCTGAGCAAGAAAAGTAGAGTATTGGATTCTATTTAGTTGGTAAATCCAAGGCTAGATGGAGAAGTTGCCTTAATAAATGACTATTGATTGGGCCAACAGCCTCTTTAGGAACCCTTCCATTCAGAGCAAAGGAGAGAAGGCCCCAGCTCCCATCCCACCCCTGAGATAGATGGTGGCTTCAGTGAGAAAGCTGATCTGATGTTTTCCTATGACACGTGGGTTGATGCAGGTCTACTTTTTATATAGTTAAACAAGAATTGCCTTTGCCCTAGTATTGTGTTCATTCCTCACCTATAGCTCACAGGCGGGTACTTAGCAAGAGCCGCAGAATTGGAAGTGGAGGTATGCCTCAAGTGGCAGAGTGCCAGCCTTGAGTAGAAAAGGCCATGTCAGAGTGAGAGGCCCAGAGTACGAGCCTGAGTACAAACCAACATGAAAAAACAAGGAACCAGTGTCAACTTCTCTCAACTGGAGCTTGCTAGAGTAAACCTATTTAGTTAGTTAATGGCAAGAACTTAACATTTATATAAATAAAGTTTTTTCTATTTCTTGTTTTGGTGGTACTAGGATTTGAAGTCAGCATCGCATACATGCTAGGCAAATGCTCATGTACTTGAGCTATTCTCTGGTACTTTCATGTGGCAGTTACTTTTAAAGATAGGGTCTTGTTTTATTCCTGGACCGTCCTATCTATGCATCTTCACGTAGCTGGGATGACAGGCATGTGCCACGTCACCCAGCCAGTGGCTGAGATGGAGTTGTGAACTTTTTGCCAGGGCTGGCCTCAAACTGCCATCCTCCCTACTGCCACCTCCCAAGGAGCTAAAGTGATATGCTTGAGCCTCCCTGCCCATCAAGACTACTTTTATGGAGATGATCGGTAATAGCATATACCGTTCTAGAAGTTTAAAAAATGGCTTATCTGTTGATTTTTCTAATTTACATGACAATATTTGAGTACCTTAAAAAATGGAAGCATAAATAGTGCATGGGTTTTGTTTGACCCACGTAGGAAACTAAGGGTTGGAACTACCCTATTTATAGAGCATACATCCTGGAAGCTGGTTCATATTCCAGATGCTGTGTTCTATAAACCAAGATGCACTGAGAACTGGTGGTTCATGCCTGTAATCCTAGCTGCTTGCAGGGGGGGGGGGCTGAGATTTAAGGATCACAGTTCAAAGCCAGCCTAGGCAGAAATGTCCATAAGACTCTTTATTTCCAATTAACCACAAAAACAAACAAAAAACCTAGAAGTGGAACTGTGACTCAAGTAGTAGAACACTAGCCTTGAGCACAAATACTCAGGGACAATGCTCAGGCTCAGAGTTCAAGCCCAGAACTGGCACATAGATAGATAGATAGACAGACAGACAGACAGACAAAGAGATCCAAGTTAAATAGTATGTTAAGAAAGTATGGTTGAGTGAGCATTGTTCTCATTTTCTAATAGGCCTGATGATACCGTATCCCATCACTTGAGTCACACGTTCAGTAGCTAGGAGTATAGGCCTGAGTACCAGTGCTCAGCCCATAGACCATTCTTTAAACATCTAGGCCTTTTCTCACCTTAAATTGCTAGATACCCTGATGCGCCTTATACTTCCTCCGGTTTAGCTGGAAGCGCTTGTCCTTCCCTCGTGGTCTGACACATCACCGTGCAGTTTACAGCCTGGCATCTGAGACTCAGCGAAACAGGAGCGTGCCCTGGCAGTGACATCGTAAAGGCAGAAATTTCAGTCTTCAGTATTTTTGTTTTTACTCTTGAATGGCATAGAACTGTTAGATTTTCCTTCAAATAGAGACAGCTTTGAAATTAGGCCTGTTTGAAAACACTTCAGCAGCCAGATTATTGGAGAAATTACTTCTTTTTTGGAGACACTGATGCTTTTTGATGTTTATTTTTCCATGCTGAGATTTGATTGTACCCAGTTGCTTTAGTTTTGGCACTTTAAAAAGTGATCCAGCTCAACTGTATGTTTCCATTTGCATTGGCTTCCGGCCCTTGACATCTGACTTACTGTAGACACTCATTACTAACACACCAACACCATAGACTAGAAGAAATGCCTTCGTGCCATTTTTAAAGGGACCCAGACAGAATGGTGAAGCCCTGGCTCAAGAGCTGACTTGTCTGAGGCCTAAAACGTAGGTGTGATTTATAAGTGTCAAGATGCTAATTAAAATATGGAAGTGCCAAGTTACTACTCCATTAGCATTCATCTCATCTTGCTCCATGAAAAATACTGGACTGTAACTGATGATTATGTGCTGCAAAATACATGTCAGCAACCATCATTTGGAGTTTCTTACTGATTTCTTTAGGCTAATGACGGATCTTCTGGAAACTTCCACAGGAAAAAAATCTTGCCTTTCTTCTCTGCAGAGATGAGGAACATGTATTTCCAGCATGAGGAAATAACAGTCTCCCCTCTCCTCATGTTCTCTTCCAGTCATTCATCATGTGGACTTGGGGGCTCTAGTCAGATACAGGGGAGTGTAGGAGCTTCGGACATCATTCCACAATGAGAATTGTGCTTTTGGCAGATGGTAGAGATCTTTGTTTCCTCTCCAGCTACTATGATTTAAAAGTTTCTGGCCTAGGAGCTGGCATTAGAATTATTGAAGGCAGCTGCATTTGTGCTATTAAGAACATTCTCAAGATTCACCCATGGTCTCAGCAAACAGGCCACATGGCTCACGGCACTGGCATTGTCCCCTCTTGGGGGAGCGTTCGAGACCCTGGATGAGCATTTGAGCCTGAAGAATTTGGGAAGGCTTTCGTTATTTGGTTTTGTTATTGTTACTATGTGGATTTGAACGTATGTGTGTTTTTATTTGGAAAAAAGGCTGAACAGAAGGAGAGACAGTGACATGCTAGAGTATACATTTCAATTCAACTCGTAACACCTGGCCTTGTTTCCTTTCTGTAAACAGACTTTGACAAATCTTGAGTATTATGTGAAAGGCAGACACCAGCCCTGTTGAGAAAGCCTGTGGCACCAAGTTTGAAGCAGATTAAAAGAAAAACACCCCTCTTATCTAGAGGTTTTCTGTAGCTAGTCCCTGGCTTCAGATAGCTCTACAGGCTGTAATCCATTCCAGAATCTGCAGAGTTCACGAAGGGCAGGTCTGTCCTCAAGGTGATTTCGGGTTGGTGATGTGGCCTTTCAGCTTTTCTTTTCTTGTATCAACCCTAGGGCTTGAACTTACGGCCTGGGATGCCTCTGAACTTTTGTGCTCAAGGCTAGCAATCTACCACTTGAGCCACAGCTCCACTTCCAGCATTTTTGGTGGTTAATTAGAGATAATGATTCTCATGGATTTTCCTGCCTGGGCTGACTTTGAACCATGATCCTCAGATCTCAGCTTCCTCGGTAGCTAGGATAACAGGTGTGAGCTACCAGCTTTCAGCTCGTTTTTTCTGTTGAGACTTACTTTGGCAGTCCAATAGCTAGACCAAAGTGCCCCAGGCGGCCAGTGGCTGCTTGTGAGTCAAGTAAGACCTGTTGGCCAACGCAGAACATCTCCCTGAGGCCCTGCTTGGCCTGTCATCTCTCCCAGCCTGGTATTTTGGCAAATGAGTTCTAGTCAGAAAAGTCTTTCATTAACATTCCTCCAGCCCTCCCTGCTCCAGGAGGAGGAGCAGGAAAGAAATAAAGAAGAGAACACACTGAGATATATCAGGGGAAATGTCACAGGGAAAATTACTTGTCGAAATCCCAGGTACAGACTGTGAGACCAGGCCTGACTGATGCAGAATCTGTCATGACTGCTATTTGCCACATGCCCAGCTACCTCTGCTTAAGGAGGTAAATCTTCTAGATTCCAGCAGCAGCAACTTAAAATGCTCGCTTATGTGACCATATCCGCTTTTGTTGTCAGTCGTGGGGCTTGAACTCTGGGCCTAGGCACTCTCCCTGAGCTCTTCAGTTCAAGGTGAGTGCTGTACCACTTGAGCCACAGCACCACTTCTGGTTTTCTGGTGGCCTGTTGGAGAAAAGAGTTTCACAGGCTTTCCTTCCCTGGCTGACTTTGAACCGCGATCCTTAGATCTCGGTCTCATGAGTAGCTAGGATTACAGATGTGAGTTGCCGGCTCCTGGCCATCTGACAATATCTTTAAAGATTCTATCTTCTCCATAAAAGCCAGGAATGAGGTCTCCCTGAACTCCCTAGAGCAAGGGTTTGGAGGAGGAAGGCCCTAGCTGGAGTGGCTTCTTGGAGTAAGACTTACCGGAGCTAAGAGTGAAGCCTAAAGACAAGGCCCAAAGGAGAGAGACAGAAACATCAGTCAGCTGGGCTATAGTCATGTTTGTTGGAATATGAAACATAAAGTGATAGGACAAAGCTAGAAAGATCGGGCTGGTCAAATCATGGTAGGCTGTGTGAATTTAAAGGTCTAGAAGCCTCCTGTCTCTTACTCTGAGACATGATCATCTCAGAGAGATGATTGCTCTCCAGGGCTTGAGAAGATGTTAGTA